CTCTTTGAAGAGGGAAATAGAAATACTTCCACTGACCATAATGGGCATTAGATTGGAACACTACTCACTTGATAAAGAGCTCTTTTTAACTCAAGTCCTTGAAATAAAACTAAATAACAAGCTTAGATTGCATGTGCTCTGAAACCAATAAAGGAAGCAGTCTCCTCTGTAGAGTTTGTAGTGCTCACACAAGCAAGCCACCATTGAAATATACTGAAAACCAGAAGGTATTCTTAGAATTACTGAAGTGTGTTTTGTGAAACCCTGTGAAAAATTTGCCTGGTATCTGTTGTCAAGGTAGCAAACCTTCTTTATTTAAGAAAAATATTACTTTCATTGTGTAATATAGGGAAGGGAATTTAAGAATATGCTTATGCTAGCAGTAAATTTTCAACATGTATTTTATTTAACTCACATGAACAGTACCACTGAAGTGAATGGTATTAATTTAAGTTTTGAGCATTTTATATATACACACAATTAGAACATTAGAGTGGAGTTAGCCTCCTGATACAGCCAGTCTGCAGTGTGCAAAGGTGCCAACTGCACAGATCACAGTCTGTGGGATGGGTCTATACATAAATCTTACCAGGCCCAGCAATGCAATGAAACATCAGGATAGTTCAACAGTGCTACAGTCTAAAATATCCCATAAAGAAAATAATCGTTTTACAGAATTCAATTTGTCTATTATAGCAAAAAGTACATTGAGTTTGGATAAACTGAAAACTCAGATAAACCGAAAACTCAGATAAACCAAACTCAAATGAGCAGGATACTCATCTCCCTTTAACAGATGTTTGTTCTTCAATGTTGCAGTTGAACACGTTCAACTGTGTTATAGTTTTGTTCCCGAAGAGGATTAAATAGAACAATACACAGGGGCATCTCAGACTCATGCTTTTCAAAACATTAAATATATCAAATGGTTTTCAGATATATAGAATCAATAGTTTTCATAAAAAGCCTTCTAACCAGAATTTTTTTATTTTTATAGCAGAAAGAGAAACTTCCACCTGTGTTCATGACACTTGTTTTCCTTTGCTGACTACTTAGCTGCACAGTCAGAGGCTTAACATGAATCATTTATTTTCCAGTAGCAGTGCACAACTCCAGCTGCTTCAGATGTGCCAAATGCAAACACAGCTTCTAGTTCTTCCCACAAGATTTATGCAATCCATTCTACACCACATCTTTTGAAGGCATCTTATGTCAAATTCCTAGAGTAGTAAATAAAATAATAGATAGACACATCTGGATGAATGCACAAAAAGATATGTAGACATTCTGTTGTTCGACATAGCTAAATTCTGTTTATGTGATTTATTCTTGAATACCTCACTGATTACTACATACCATAAACCTAAAATAGTGTGCGAGTACCATATGTAAGTCTGTTGTCTAAACACATTCTTGTAGTGTGTTGGGAGCATTAAGTGAATACAGGGCAAAAGGACAAGCAGAATTTAAGTTGTTTATTTTTTTTAACAAATTCTCCTTCCTCAGGTTTTTAACTCTTTGCCTGGTATTTAACTACTCTGAAGTATAAAGGTAATCTCATGATTCTGCACGGCTCATACCAAGTAATTCTTGTGGTGTTTCATAGTAGATGACCTTCCTCTGTGATACTGAAGCTGAAAAGTCATTATATTATTTTCAGAGCACTAAATTTTTTCATTTCATAGAAGTGTTCCCATATTGAATAGATAAGTTTTGTAACAAAAAAAAAATTGTAAAGCACTTCATGAGAAAATAATCTCATAAAAGCATCACTTTGTATTTCTGGAAATAGATGGGAAATAAAACTCATCCAGCTTTATAAGGTATTGAATATCTACATGTGCAATACAAATCTAGAAGATAAATATATATTGACAATATCAGTCATGAAGAAGACCAGAAAAAACACTCATTTTTGTAATAACAGTATAGCTATGTTGAGTGAATAGCTGGGAAAAACTGCCTGGGAAGGTGGAGAATGAATATGAAACACAATGATGCTCTCACCTACAGCACAAAAGACTCTGATCTGACCATCTTAAAATTTATTGGGAAGGTTGATTTCACACTGTACTGGAATAAGAGCAAAGTTGAACTCAATTGTTAAGTCAGTCTAAATTGATTTTAAAAGCTGATTTAGATAATGCAATTAATGTAAAAGCCTATTCAGTTCCATTTATTACATTTTTGTATGTAAACAAAATCTGTTTTATGAATAATTTTGAGATTTTTTATGGAGTCAAAAGGTGCTAACCGAAGTTGAAATACTAATGAAATAATTTTGCCACTATATGCTTTGAAAATAGCTGGCACTTTATCAAATTTAAATAAGGGATTCAGAAAATACAGACTAGTAAACCACAAATGTATAAATCTAATTGACAGAAATCATAATTAAAAGAACAAGAATAGGAAACTTATGAAAAGGAAATTACATTTCAACTAATTGCTATTCCTGGAACATGTAATTACAAAAACAAATCTGAAAAAAATGGTATTAACACAACAAACACATTTTGAAAATGCCGCTGAAAAATTATCACACAGGAACTACCAAGGATAGGAAGTAGTTACAGAGTAAGGAACAAAATATCTCCATGGATCAAAACATGGAAAACAGAAGAAAAAGGGCAAGTTTATTATAGCAAAATGGAAGCAGTAAGATGTTTATGAAAGTTCTGTAATAAGTTTAGTGCTTAATACATTAATAAGTGGACAGGAAACATAAACAAATGCGGGATGGCAAAACTTTCAAATGGCACAAAATATTTAGTTTATTCAAATCCAAAAGGATTATGGAGATATCCAGAAAGTCCTCATCAGTTGAGTAAACGGGTAGTGTGATAGCAAGAGAAATTGTAGGCTCATAAAGAGCAACCACAATATTAAAGTAAAAACACTGAGATACTTATCCTAACCAGTAAGTTCTTAATTGACTAAATCAACTCTAGGCAAACCTGGTCATCCTTCAAGATAGTGCGTGCATCCAAAAATCAATACATTTGAACAAATAAATAGGGGAAGGAAAGGAATACAGAATTCTAATGAGAAAGTATCAAACATTACTTGTCAAATTTCAAAAGATTCTGTGCAAAAGCATGGAAAACATCCAAGGAGGGATTTAAAAATGGAAAATGTTTACTTCCGAAAGCAAATCGGATTTGTTCCCTCGAATCTGCTGTGGAAAATTTTCAAAAATAAAAAAAAAGGGAAAGGATAGCTAAAAGTAGTAAGAAATAAAAACTAATATTAAAAATTGGGATCAGGTCACACCTGTCTCCATGTATCATAATTTAAAATGAGAAAGTCTTCATCAGTTAATGAAGTCATAAATTGACAGAATCAAATGAGACAAAAACCACTTTGCTCATAGTACGTGGTTAATTTGTTATGCCCATTTTAACACTACATTCTCAAAGCTAAGAATTAGAAATATTTGAAAAGAGAAGTGAAATTTGAGCAGAGAAAAGGTGTAAATAAGATAGCAGGAATATCCAGAATAAAAATAGTAAATATAGAAAATATTTTGGAAAGCTACAGTTTAAACCAACTTATAACTGTTACACTGAGATGAAATGTAGGCTTGGATTATCCCATTTTGGCAAAATGGGAGTTAGGTCATTCAATCCTGTGTGTAAAATCTTTTGTCTCTTTTTTTTAACCACAGCATTCTCAAACTGGGTTATATTTATGACTTGAACACGAAAAGCATCTGTATGGCCAGTCTTCGCGAGCGAAGATTTTGGGAAAGGTCATTACCCTTCGAGCCTGCGCAGTGGATTTTTTAGGTGAGACACAGTGTGCGCTGAGCTGAGCCCACCCTGTAATCCTGAGGTTCATCTGCCGGGGCCGAGCAAGCTTGGACAGTGGCAGTCAGGTCCTCAGGATGTAGGTTTGTTTAGAGTGACCTTCTCTTAGAATGGATGGCCTTACAGGGCTAACGAGCTCCATCTGCCCAGGGGAGTTTTTCCCTGACGGGGAAAAAAGCATCTGTATATTTATAATAATGGTACCTACTGTAATCTTACTTTCATATACAATGTACTGTTTTGCCAACTATTCATTTCGCACACACATATATTTGCTGTTGCCAGTGGATATGTATTTTGAGGCTGAAAGATGAAGATCTGCTTGTGCGCTTTGGTGAGGAGAGGGAGACTTAGTTTTTGCATGGCCCATATTTTATTGAAGGCCCTCAAACTGAGACCATCTAGATGTTTTCAACATTGAGATAACCTACTCTGTCCTAAAGTAGAGAGACTCAGACTCTTGAAATTCTTTAGGACTGATCAAGTAGCATTTAAAAAATATCCTGACCCAGTTTTGGAATTCTTCTGTGTGTATATGCCTGTGTTTGTGGTGTTTGGGCTGAGTTGGCCATGGTCACCATGAGTAGCTGTGGAAATGAGGAGCCTGTGGCTACATGTACACTGCCTCAAGTAGCGAGCGGCATCCCCAGGCTAGCACAGACTGAGACAGGTGTAATGATAGCAGGTGCAACCCACACCCTTGAAGAGTCATGTCACATCAGCTTAGCTCAGGCTGAGGCTGTCCCCCTTCCAGAGACAGTCCCAGCAAGGCTCCCTGTGCTGGCTTAGCTTCCCTGTGTGTGTGCACAGAGAGCAGAGTTACAAGACAACATGCATATTCAAATGTCATCCTTCAGTCTGCCAGCTGGGTGCTGTTCAGGCCCTTGGAAGAAATTTCCCCCTTCTCAGGTGTGGGCCTCAGTGTTCCTCATGTTCTGAGGATGATATTTATGGAAATCTACCAGACTGGGAGACGTTCTCTCCCCGAGGTCACCGTGGCAGGTAACCCTGTTTGGCCTCTGAGATGGGGACCTTGGGCATATTCCCACCACTCCGTCTCTGAGCAGACTCCCAGATGTTCAACCTCACACACACGTTTCTGTGTTTCCATGAACTGCACTATTTTCTGTCACTTTTGCTGGGGTGGGCTACGCCCGCTGCTGCTGTCTGACGGTGAGCGGCGAGGCCGGGTACCATCCCACAAGGAGCTCCCTCCCGATGGAGGATCGTCCGCCCCCGCCGGGTCTGTCTGGCCCGGGGAGCCCCATGGGGCGGAGGGAGGAGCGCGCAGGGCCATGTGAGCAGCTGGCGGCGGCAGCGGCCTCGGGGAAGACAGATGGGGTGAGAGACAGCGCGGGTCCGGCTGTCAGCGGCCGAGCCCCGCCGCGGAGGGAGCCCCTCCTCCCGCCGTGCGCTCCCGGCCGGGGCAACCATGGCGTCCAGCGAGGAGGACGGAGGTGGAAACGGCGCGGTGGAGGAGAAGGAGAAGGGCAAGAAACGGAAGCTAGGCGCCCTGGCCACAGCCTGGCTCATCTTCTACAACGTCGCCATGACCGCGGGGTGAGCGGGCGCGGGCGGCAGCTCGGCGGCTCCGCGGGGCGCGGAGCGGCGGGGCCGGGGCAGCGCGGCGGGGGCGCGGCGGGCCCGGGGGGCTGCGGAGCGGGAGAGCCGGGATGCGGGAGAGCCGCCGGGACCGGGGCTATCCTGGCCCGCCGGGCATTGCCTAATACGGTGCAGCGCTGCCGGCCGCCGGCGCCCGCGCCGAGGTTAAGTATAGCCGGCACCGGAATGCCGGCCGGGATGACGCGTCCCTCGGCACAGCCGCCGCCGCCGCCGCCCCGCCGCCGCCGCCCGCCTCCGGATGGGGAGGCGAAAGCGCCCCTCGGTGCCGCCGGGAGCTTCACGCCCCGGGGTCCCGTGTGGGGCAGCGCGTTCGGGTCCGTGGGCCCCGGCTCTGGGCAAGCAAAGCCCACCCCAGCTCCCGGAGGGGAGAGCGTGGCCCGCAGAACCGGCGGTCATTAGTGATGAGCGGGGACGGGTGGAGGGGAAAGCGTTGCAGTAGCCTAGGGGGTTCGTTTGAGCTTGTGCTATGTGCTGTGAGGCTTTGCTCTAGGGAAAGTGGAACAGATCATAAGAACACTCAGATTTATGTTATTAGTGCTTGAACCACCTATTTCCACTTAATGAAAATTTGCCCTGTTCACTAATTATTGGGGAAAAATACTTCCAACCTTTTAATTTCCACATGCTTAAAAGAAAGCTAGGAATTAACCATTTTATAACTTCCAGAGTGATATTCATCAGGAGAACAGTTTTACTGTGGTTACCAGTGAGTGAATTCTCTGTCCTTTGAATCCCATAAAGCAAAACTGACATGCTGTAGTTGAAGCAGTTCAAGTACTGATGGAGAAAGCCAGGAATATGATCCTAATGGCTTTCTTCTCTCTATCATCCGTGAATCATATCTCTCTATCAAGTCCGTTCATATATTGCTGCAACACCTTTTGAAAAGTGCTTTTACTGAAAGTAATTTTTTTCTAACTGGCAGGTTACTGTTACCTCATTGAACTCCCAGACTTGTGCTCCATGTGTGAATTTGCTAATGAACACTGACTCTTGCCACAGACTTTTATATGTCTCTAAAAGATTATCGAACCATATTAGTTTTGACCTTAGGTGCTGCTTCAGTATCTCCTACTTCCTTCTCTCCCATCTGCCATTCTTATCAAAAGGGATTAAGACATGCAAAATTGGATATTTTATGTGGAAATTGAGAAAAAAAAAAGAGAGGAACAAATTCTTATAATCTTTTTTGGTTACAATTTAAGAGAAAAAATAAACATGAAATAGAACAATACTTAACACGGGTACTACACAGGATAAATAAGTAGCTAGAACAGCATATTGGTCCAGTTATCCAGACAGTGCAATATAGCGAACTGTTTCTAGAGTTTTAACAAACTAATGCATAACTGCATGTTAACAACCATTATAATAAAGAAAACTTGCAGCTTATCTTCCTTTCTAACACAGATTTAAGGGACTAAAATGACAGATGAATACCCAGTCTTACTGAAGCCCCAACTGGAAATGCTGCCTTTATTATAGGAAGTGTTTTCCATTTCCTTGTGATTTGCAATACTCAGTCAAAGCCACTGACAACTAAATAAATCCAGCTACAGAAATTCATGTCCACATAAAAATTTATTTAAGAAAAATGTATTTGCAGTCTTTGCTTCTGAATGTAGTCCAAGATTACTTCCCTCTGCAATGCTTTGGTTATGGAACAAGATACAGAGAATGTCTTGTTAGATTAGATGTATTATGACTTCTCAGTCTAGGGCTAGGACAGAGCTGTTGCTGTCACCATTCATGCTGCCAGCTGGATGTAAACTCACTGTCACCCTCCTCTTGTTAAACACGTCCCTATAAAACAGGGCAGCTTTACTGTGGAGAACTACAAGTGATATTTCGGTAATTCCGCATTTCCACAATGGTGGGAGACCACCTGAAATAAATCCACTCATATTTAAAATCCGTTATAAAATCTAAGTGACACTTGCAGGGGAAAATTTTGGAACTCTGGCAGATCGGATTCATGGGCTTAAAGTAGAAGGGATCAAGAAGGGGAATCATTCCTACCATGTGTGGAAGTCTGACTAACTATGTGAGTTTGAAATGCTGTCATGAAATGCTGGGATGGGCCATGCCAAGTGACTGCATAGCAGTAGCCACCTTGCGTAAGAGTTGTTGAGGGGCTGATACTGAAGTACGTGCCATCCGAGGTGAACAGGGACCTGTCATGATCCATGCGACACTCACGCTGTTACAGCACAATGGAGCTGACCAAAAGATTAGTATTTCCTGATACCCTGTTTCCAACATTAACCAATACCTTATGTTTAGGGAGGAGTATAGGAACGGTAGATGAGTTAAATATTTATCCAAATGTTTGTGTAAATATTTCTCTGAATGTTTATGCGCTCTCTGAATCTGCCTCTGAGTTTTTCTCAGACCCCTCTGCTTTGTTGCTTGGGCCCTTCCTTAGCCAGAACTCATGTCGCTGTACAGCGTGCTTGCTATGGCCTATGGAGAATGAAAGAACTCAGTATTTTTTCCCAGTATCATCAGATGAGGAGTTAAACTAAAATTGTTATAATTTTGGGGTTTTATTTTTACCTCTCAAAATAGCCATCCATAGCTCTGGTTATGTCTGTGTCTATATTAAAGAATTTTTGTACTTTCTTAGTCTTTGTGGATTGAAACCTGAAGTTTTGAATCATCTTGCTAGTATGATGTCTTTATAAATGTGGTATAGCTCTGAAAGGTTGAGAGAGTTGAGGTTGTCCAGTATGGAGAGGAGAAGGCTCCGGGATGACATTATTGCAACCTTTTGGTACCTGAAGGAAGCCCACAAGAAAGCTGGAGAGGGACTTTTCACAAGGACCTGTAGTGATAGGACAAGGGGGAATGGCTTTAAACTGAAAGAAGGTGGGTTTATATTATATATTAGGAAGAAATTCTTTACTGTGAGGGTGGTGAGACACTTGCATACGTTGCCCAAAGAACCTGTGTTTACCCCATCCCTGGAAGTATCCAAGGCCAGGTTGGATGGAGCTCTGAGCAACCTGGTCTAGGGGAAGGTGTCCCTGCCCATGGCAGGAGAGTTGGAAGTAAATGATCTCTAAAGTCCTTTCCAACATAACATTCTATGATTCTATGATAAAGGAACGTTTAGTACACTCTTTTGAAAATCTTAATTATGTAAATATGGATTTATTGTGTGGAAGGAACTGCGCATGCCTTGGGTTATTGTACAGAGTCTGGGCTGACGGTGGGGATCAACCAACCACAGTTTAGAAGTTTATTTTTCTTTAATCTCAATTTACATTCAATTTAAATTTTGTATCAAATTCTAGTATGATTAAAAGACACTGTTACTCTCTTTCTTTTACAGTGGAAGGGTTATTAGTTGGTATAATTGTTCAGCTTCCCCTCCCCCCCAAAAAAAATAAAAGTAATCCGACATCCTTAAGTGTCCTAGTTAAATATACCTGCCTCTGGAAGCCAGGAGCATAGAACACCCATCTTTCAGCACTTTGCCACCTGATTTTTAAAGATCACTTCTCAACACTATTGAAAACATAATACTAATGGTAACTTCAGTTGGACAATCACAAACAGAAGCACTCAGATCACTAGTCAGTCCTGAAATCAATGAGTTGAGGGGCTGTGAAAAGTGTAAAACTGATGGGCATAGGTTCTGTTCCTTTACTCATTCAAACCTGCAACCCAAACAGTGGCTTCAGTGCCAAGTTCATCGTGTGTTTTCAAATAGCAGTAATTAATGGTAGAGATGCAAGAGGATTTAATAGTAAAAATATGGAGTCCCTGCTAGTGAAAAGTCTGATGGATTGGTGGTTTTGGGGGTTCCCTCAATTCAAGTCAATCCTCTGAAGGTAGCAAGTCATTCTCCATCCTTTTCCAAGTAAAGAGATAAGAGTGTAATGTTTACATAACATTATAATATTTATGTCTAAAGATATTTTTGATAATCTAAGAACACTGACAAGTGAAGAAGCAAAGATATTCTGTAAAGAAAAATACTCTACTAAATTATTTACGATGGATGGATATTTTTAGAATTCTAATTTGAAATGTATCCATTCTCTTTCTTTTGTAGGTGGCTGGTATTAGGTATTGCCATGGTGCGGTTTTATATACAGAAAGGAACACATAGAGGCTTATTCAGAAGCGTTCAAAAGACGCTTAAATTTTTCCAGACATTTGCTTTGCTTGAGGTAAATTTTAAACATTAGTTTGCTTTACTGAATACTGCATATCATAGGCAAAACACATTATTATCCTGAATTTAAAATCACAGTATTATATTAGTACTAGAAGTCCTTTTAAATTTATTATTTCATAAAGGCGTTTTATTATTTAATGAAGGAGGGGCAAGGTGATTACTTGAAACAAGTGGGCACATTTTTTTCAACCTTGATTCTAGTATTTCTTTAAATCAGACAGTGCCTGGGAACAGCTTCGATTTGAGAGTCTTGAATGAAAAAGGCAAAAATTCAAATGCATTTCAGCCATCAGATCAACCCTCTAGTGTTGTAGGTATTTCACCACCATCTCCAGAGATTATAGCTTACCTATTACTCCTTATACTGGACTTACTATCCTTTGTGCCTTTCCTGCTTCTGCTTGTTTCCGGATCAGATTCATGTACATCTGTGGAAGGAAGCTGTTGGGTTTATTGAGCACTTGCAGTTCTTTCCCAGGCACAACAAAGAGTTAACTTTTTTCCTCAATCTGCCACAAAGTCTCTAGTTCAAACTATTAAAATCATGTCGCCAGCTGTGTATAGTAAAATTCTGTCCTGTAAAATTCTTCTTTGAATAAGATAATGGAAGGGAAATTTGCCAGTTGAAAATAAAGTGCTTTGTAAATATCTAAATGTCTAATATATACAATTAGTTTTGAAAATAAATCTTTCATGTGCTTGCACAGCTGAAATCCTGAGCCCGTTGTTGCCAGGGCTCTGCTGAGAATTTCTTTTCTGTTAGTTGGAGACAAAAGACCCTTCCCTTCAGAATTAAGCCTAGGTTTATATTAATATCAAAAGGCCATGCTTGTAGTGTAGCTAGTAACATGCTGCACATCTGTAACCTCTAACTTATTTTTATTTACAGGTAGTCCACTGTGCAGTTGGTGAGTTCTTTGTTTTAGTTTCTCCTATAACTAGTTAAAACATGAATTGTGGAACAGAGATAACATGTTTCTCTTTTTAAGGAATAGTTCGCACATCTGTGCTTGTGACTGGGGTCCAAGTGAGTTCAAGAATCTTCATGGTGTGGTTCATTGCACATAGTATAAAACAGGTATGTGTGTAAGCAAGTTATGTTTTGATTGTTTTTAAGGAGAAGCTGTTAATACAGTTCTCATTCCACAAGGAAGACCAATTTAAAAATTAATGATATTCCTTAATGAGTATGCTTACATACTCGAGTGCAATCTTGGAAATTGGGGGTTAAAAAATGGAATTTATGTGCTTCTTCCCAGGAAACTGAGTCTGGGTCTTGCCTGTGAATCAGCAGTGTCTTCGGCATTGTGCCGGCTGTGGTCTGCCTAGGCGAGATCAATGACTACTGCTGTTATTTAGCAGCAAATCTACCACAGTGTTACCAGCTCCATTTCAAAAACTTTAATTAGCACTTGCTGAATTAATATAAATAAAATGTAGATTTGTGTATTTAAATTGATGTCTCATATTGAATTTACCCTGATAAACATGGTTGTGATTTTGCAGTTTATTTTAGGAACTATCTCAGAATTTAAATGTTATGGTAGTATTAACATTTGATGACATGCGTAAATGCACATCCAGCATGCCACGGTGGCACTTGTGGTCCTATATAAATGACTATAGTTTGTCTGCCTGGCTGTAGGTGGCTATTGTAAGGCTAGTGATTTGTTAGCAGAATGAAAGAAGGAGACTGCTTACAGCTCGTAGGTAGGACATTCGGGTCAGTTTCTGAGGTCTGCTTTCTGCGAAAGGCATGTAAGAATTAAGTGAAGGACTTTGTGCTCCTGAATTTCTTTAGAACTTGAAAAGCTGAGCCATTGAACTGTCTCACCAGCAGATGGCATAGGCCTTTCTGCAAATGGGTTATCCTAGCACCTGCCTCAGTTACCAAATCTTTTTGTTTCAGTTCACAGAGGACTCATTTTCTACACTGCATCTTTTTCCTTACTGTTGCTTTTCTTAACATGGAATAGGCTTTTCATAGTTGTTTTTTTTTTTGGTAAGCTAAGTGTTTTCATTTTTTCCTTAAGGGAAAATGTCTCAAAGATTAAAAAGGTTTTTTATATTGAATGTTTACACAGAAGCTGGACTTACCACTGCATCTTACCATTTTTTATTATCTATAGTGGACTAAATCTTTAGCATATCCAGTAATTTCTTTTATTTCCTTTATCTACAGTACAGTAGGTCAAGCTGTGTCCAAGAAAAAATACATGTGAATGTATGTCTGATTGTATTTCATGCTATTATTGCTTAGCAGGCATGAATGTTCAGGGTCACTTTAGATGGTGAGAGGCATGTCAGTGATAATAGCCAGACCCAGATCTCTCCACTTGACTGGAGATTTGCAAGGCAATAGATAGAAATTCTCTGCATACTTATTTAAAAGCTCTTCAGCTTGGATTTAGCACTGTGACATGAATCCAAGTTTGGGTTATCAATGTTTGTCTCTAATTGCGTGAGGCAAAGAACAGCCTAATTCTGTCTTTACTTTTGCTTCTCAGTTTGGATGTCTTTGCATTTCAGTTGTTCCTATTTTGTTTGTGATTTTTTTTGTTTGTTATTTTTATATCCCAGTTTTTTCTATGATGTTGGTGAGATCCACTAAAAGTGCACCTTCTTTGACTGACACATTGAGGGGGTGATTTTATGAGCACTTACCATTCTTCTTGACTTTTGACAGAGTTGTGGATTTTCAGCATCTTGGAGATAATAGTAAGCTTTGTCACCGTGTTGCATTTTATTTTAAAAAATCATTTCCCTTTTTTGTAATTTTAACAAAACTTGAGTTACTGTATTTTATTTCACAGACGTCCCTGGAGCTTTTCAGCCTTCAGGCATGGAAGTGTATTACAAAATTCCTCCCTCTTAAAGAAAAGAAAATTACTTGTGTGTAATTCTTCTTCTCAGAAGGTAGTGTTTGTAATAGATCCCCGGGAGCCTTCTCTGTATTTGGGGACTTTTGTTTATTTGTTCACTCAAGAGTGAAAAAGAGCCGATGTTTCGAAATAGCAGAGATGTGCTACCTACTGATGAGGCAGTTTAATGACTCAGAACTTAAGTCTTAAACAGGATTGTTGAGTGGGTTTACCCAAAGCTCCTGATCTACCAACTACTCTTCATTTAATGAGCCATCTGTGCTCCACCTACTTAACTATCTTAGAGCTCCCTGAAGTCTGCCAAACTTGATCTTCTGTGACCAAGTTCCAGTTAGCAGATTATACAAAGCAATTCCTTTTGTCTAAAGTTTCATGGAGACGTGCATTATACAGTGAGGAAGAAGCAAGATAAAAAGTAAGAGAAAGTCTAGGAGACAGAGTAGTGAAATGCAGGATGGTTAAAAACTCATTATGGAAAGAACATATCTTCTGTAGCATTGTTTGGTTCTTGCTGTTTTAAGGAGTAAGAAAATAAACAAGTAAGTCAACCACAAATAAAAGAGAGGGGCCGTTAGTGTAGTGAAAATGCAAGTAGAGAACAAAGGGAAGGAATAAGCATAATTATAGAGGTTTATATTTGATATTTGCATAAAGGATAAAGATTGCTCAGTTTGCAAAATGTCTGTATGTTAGTACACACATATGATGTATTTACACTGTACATATCACTTTTATGACAAAATCTTCTTTCTTTATAAGATGTTAGTTCTGTTCCATGTATCTTAAAGAGAAGTCTGTTGCATTTGCACAGAAAAGAGGCTTAAGGATGAAGAAAATGTTGGTTCTTTATACTTCCGCAGATCCAGAATGAGGAGAGCGTTATTCTTTTTCTGGTGGTATGGACTGTGACAGAGATTACTCGATATTCCTTCTACACATTCAACCTGCTCAACCATTTGCCATACTTCATTAAATGGGCCAGGTGGAGATGTCTTGCACTTCAGTCTCTCATGGTTCTGTGCATGGTAGTTTCTCGCATGCTGAGCTAACACTCAGGAGAGCAGAGTTTTGAGCTTTCGCTATGTGTCAGCAAAGTGCAAGTTGGTTGCTTTCTGTACTTGGCATCATTGTTGCTTGGTTTTAAATGTTAAAAGTATTTTAGCTGAGATTTTTGGAGTCTGATTTATTCATTGCTTTCCGTGTCTCACAGTTTGAGCTCTGCTTTCACTTACTCTTAAATTTTTTTCTTTATCTTTGGAATCCTCTTTTAACTTAAATATGACTCTTTAAGATGCTTTTGAATACTGTGCCCAAAATTAAGCACCTGTGCTAGTCTTTGTGGATGTCAGTTCTTTGAAAATATGGGCATTGTTGTCACTCAATCTTTGTGCGTATTGTTACTTTATATGAAGTTCTGCTTTATCAGAGCTTTTGTAAGATTATATCCATGTACTGAAGTATTGACTTAGTTTAGCCCACATAAAAAGTGTATTCCATATCAAAACTGTTTGGATTTTGAAGCATGCTTAGGGTTGGCCATTAGATCACATATATTATGGAGACTGCCTGTTTATCAGGAGACTGGAAGACTATTGTCTGTATTCATTATTTTAAAAATACATGTAAGACAGGATGTTAAAAGGAAAATATCTAGCCTACGTTCAGTGCAGGTGACTCTTATTTAAAAGAGTTTGTTATTTTCCTTCATTTTTGTTTTATAGATAATTCAGTTTTGATGCTTCTAATATACTTCTTTGATATGTCTGATATTTATGTCCACTCCTATAATATGTTATATTTTTGCTAGTACCTAAGATGATAGACTTGGTTACGTTTAAGCATTAAATGGCAAACTTAAAAATAATCAGGTTGGCTGTCATTAATAGCTTTTTATGTAGGCTTCAGAAAGAAATATGCGTCCATTGACAGATATACTTTTTGCCATCAGTGTGCCTTGAATGACAAGATTTTGTTTCCTTAATATAGACAATAGAGAAAATCGACATTCTAACAGCAGAGTTATGTGGTGAAATATATTATAAACAAAACACTTGAAAATATGTTATCTTTTCATAGAGTCCAAAATATCCCATCAAGATTTATGGATAAACAAACAGCACAACTGGACATAAATTCAGTACTCCAAGAGAGCTGGAATTTCTGATCTTTAGCTTATAATTGTAAAAGATTCTCCTGTCTGTTGTTAATGGAATTGGTATGCTTCAAATTTTAGTTCAGAATTGTTGGGGTTTTTTTAACTGCGTAGAAACACACTGTGTGTAAATCATTGCATCAGTTCCTTCTAATACCTCCTCTAATCTATAGTGTTCCCAGTGGTGCCAAGCAATAGGGCAAGAGGCAATGGACAGAAACTGATGCACAGGAAGTTCCACCTGAATATGACGAGGAACTTCTTTACTGTGAAGGTGACTGAGCACTGCAACAGGTTGCCCAGAGAGGTTGTGGAGTGTCCCTCACTGGAGATATGCAAGAACTGTCTGGACACAATCCTGTGCCACGTGCTCTGGGATGATCCTGCTTGAGCAGGAAGGTTGGACCAGATGATCTGCTATGGTCCCCTCTAACTTGACCCATTCTGTGATTTTGTGATTTCCCTAATCTGTAGTCTGACTGCAAGTCCTCTAAGCCCATTTACTTCTAGGAGGGTTTCATGTTTAGTCGCTGCTGTTTTGGATCTCGTCTCTTTTGGTCAGGGAGTGCACACTGTGCCTTTCTCTCTGTGCCACAGCTGTCATTGCTGTTCCCTGCGTGAACTGGAGAATTTTTCCTTAGGAGAACCTGCATATCCATGGTGCACTGTGTGTAAGGACAGCACAAAGCCTTTTGATTACAGTTTTTCATTTTGTCACTGCCTATGTGGCCCTGTGGCATTCAAACCACATTTTCTTTAAACTGAATGCTTCGTCTTTGATTTGAACATCTTCTTCTCACTTTAAAATCGATCTGATAAGTTTCTGGCACTGCCATTTTCTTTTATTTTTTTATTCCAATTTCCATTAGTGGTAAATTTGAATTTCCCATGTGGTAGCTAGTAAAACAGACTGATGTTTCTCAATGTTTTCATTATCTTCAAATAAATTATAATACATACAGTTGACCAAGTGTGCATGCTCTGTGATGAAAATATGTAAGATCATCTGAATTTGGGATTCAGTCCTGATCTGAATCCTGTCAATAACAACAGGAGCCAAGATCAGTACATGTAAAAGAAATCATTATTGGAGACTACAAGTTTGAGGATTGTTTTATTATAAAGACATACAAACACTCTGATACTTCACTTTCTTAAATAAAAGCACTGAGGAATGCATGCTCTGTAAATCTAAGCAACTCTCTCCAAAGTAAATGAAACTGGTGTTCTGTGCCAAGTCAGGATGTGGTCTTTGATTTTGGTGCAAGATCTACTGTAATACATTGCTGTGCCACTAATAATAACAAGAGAAAATTTTAAATTTGGGGAGCGTTTCTCACAAAGTTTTTTTTACTTTTTAATGCAGATACAACTTTTTTATCATTTTGTATCCTGCTGGAGTTGCAGGTGAACTGCTAACCATATATGCTGCTTTACCCTATGTGAAGAAAACAGGAATGTTTTCACTGAGACTTCCCAACAAATATAATGTCTCCTTTGACTACTATTACTTCCTTATTATTGTCATGTTCTCCTATGTGCCATGTAAGTATTATTTAACTGCAGAAACATTTTAACATAATAATCAGTCATCAGCAATGCTGGAAGCACTGCCTGTAGTAAAATTAGCTGAACATTTTCTACTGTAAAAGCCTGCTTTTTCTTGTTCCAAGCTTTGCTGTGCTTTAATTGGTTACACTGAAATTTTCTGTCCTGTTATCTGTTTCAGAACATAAGCTGTCATAAATTTTAGTGAAAATGCTAAAAACATTTCTAAGACTTGTACAAAGTAAAAAAACTTTTTGCTTACGCACAGAAATGTCTGTAACTGTGTCACTGAGACTTCCTAGTGCCTCGGCCACTTTGAAGCAATGGCTTAAAAATGGTCCTGCAAATTGTGCCAGAGATTTGCTGTGTTGTTATTGCTACTAATGCTCATTTACCTCTGAAAAATCACAATTCTAGCATGCTTGGGAAAAACTTGAAACGATATTCTCCAAGATTTCATTTTCACAGAAATCAGCCCTTCCTTCCCTGCCTCCAGACCTCTCAGAACATCTTTAGTCCCTGGTTTAATCAGTTTGTCCTTGTGCTTAACGGATACCAGAAGCCACAGATCAATTGGCTGAACTAAGCTAAGGGTAGAGAGACTATCTGTCTTCCACTTTCAGTGTTATTTCCACAGGTATCCTAAGCAGTGAAGACGAGGAGAAAGCAACCTGATTCAGATACACTGCCACAAATGGGGCTAGATCAAACTAGGGATATATAATATTTTAGATAACATTACTAACAGAATATATAATAGAATATTTTGAAGAATCTGTACATTGAGGTTAGAAACAAGGTAGCAGGTTAGAGAGAGAAATAGAGAAAGAGGAAAACTGAAGTTAAAAGGTCTGTGATTTGCATTCATAAAGGGAGAAAGAGACCTTAAGCATGGACTTTCATAATATGTACATACACTGAAATTTTTTGTCACAGGAAATCATGAAGGCCAACTAGTGAGATTGATGTGAGTAAAAAATGTCCTAAGCTGTCATAACTTATTAATGGGTTTACAGCTGTTTATATAACTTAATGTTTAAGGAATAAATCTAGTTTTCTAACCATTAAGTATAAGAATCAAATCTGTCAGCAGGACAGTAATATAATAGATGACAGAGGGCCAGGAGAAAGGGATCTTCTCACTTGAGACTTGAACAAGTAGGTTAAATTTGTATCCTCAAAGTCTTAATTCAAACATGCTTACCTTAGCACAGATTTGAAGGCTTCAGGCACTGCCAGAATGTGATTAAGTCCTGTTTCTAGAAAGAAAGTGTTGAAGCAAAATTCCTTGAACACAGGGTATATATTCAGGGGACCTTGTCTGACTTTTGAGTAATTGTTTTGTAATTCACTGCAATGTTAATGACTTGTTATTATTTACCTTAACCAACTGCAGCACTGTGTGCCATAATTTTTACTCATTCTGCAAAATTGTATTTTATATGATCTGTTGAATTTTGTCATATAATTTGCTTTCTTTTATTTTTTTATCAAGTATTTCCACAACTCTACTTCCACATGCTGCGGCAGAGAAGAAGGGTGCTTCATGGAGAAGTGATTGTGGAAAAGGACGACTGAATCAAGATGTGTAACTATGGTGCTTTTAGTGGAAAACAAAAAAGAGGGTAAAACCTCAATATTTCCTGTGATTTTTCTGAGTCCAAGTTTTAAAACATGGAACAAGAATAAACAACTGTGCATAAAATAGCATGGATTCTATTATTTTTACAACTGATATATTTTCAGACCTATCTTTTCATCCTCGGTTTCGCTTTGGTTTTTAATTGTCTAATTCTTCAAACAAATTATTTTCTTATTTTCACAAATAGTTTTCTTGGTTTCACAAATAGCTTTAAGAATTGGAATAGTTGGCTACTGTGCCCTCTGTTCAGAAAGTTGTGTTATAACCTGTAGTCATCATCAAGAACAGAAGGAGAGTTGATAAGTTGTACTGAAAGTGAGTCTTCTGGAAAACAGCTGAGAGTAAATTGGGTAATTGTGTTTTTCGTAGTCTAGGTGGCTTGAATGTTATTTAAGCTTTTTATTAAATAATACCTTTCCTGTTATAAGTACTGTAGCACGTTGTTGAACAATCTTTGAATTACAGTAGGACTTTGGATAGCAGCTAAGTCCTTGATTGTCAGTGCAAATTTGGATCTCCCTGTATTTTCATTTGTAATTTACAGATAAGTAGAATAACAGATATCAAATTAAGTGTTTAAAAGTTTGTGCTGAGGAGTAGACTTGATGTGCCTACCTTTCTCTGATCAGTGGCTGGAATGGGACTCATTTGCAGAGAAAGTCTGACTAGCATTGTGTTTGCTATTCTACACTTAAAGTATGTATGCAGAAAAATCTCAGTTTTGCATTTAGAAACTGTAGCTATAGTGAGATATTTGACTTCTTATAAATAGCTCTGTGGGATAAAATATATTTGAAATAATGTCTTAAAATAGAAATTGTGCTTTGAATCATCCCATTGTGCAATTTTAATTGCCTCCTTTCCATTAATTGTTTATACTGTGTTGACCTAATTCTATTCAATGTCTCCAATAATCTGCAAGAAGGATCTGCAGTATATTAATGAAAGTTACAGATGATATTGCATTATATGATACCTGAGTGGGAGAGGTCCAACAAATTAGACACTGCCTAAGGGATTCAAAGAAAAGGTAATGCATTTGAGGAAACTTGGATACTTAGTGAGAGAGAGAGAGAGAAGATTGAAATGTAGTAATGTGGTAAGCAGCTTTGATAATGTAGGCAACAAAATTGCTTCTGGCATCACTAATGTCAAAAGAAGAGTATATATGCAGACGAGCTGCATTAGGCAGCTAGAAATCAAAATATTTGTGATTGCTGAGGTGATATCTGGAGTACAGTCTTATATTTTTGGGTACCTCAAGAATTGAGACAATCTTTTGAAAAGTCACAGAACAAAACCGTGATTAGTTTAAGTGAGAAAGAAGTCGGAAAGATTGAGTCATTAATGTGTATAATTTTTTGTTTTATGAGAAATATATGTAAAGGAAGAGGCTTTCTAAGTATAATGGTGCAACTGGAATTGATTATATGAATTTGAAGCAGGGTGAATAGCCAATGAATGTCAGGAGAAAGATCCTGCTAATGAGATCACTTAGGCTATGGAATGACACAGTAGTGCTTATCAATGCATACAATTTCTTGGAAGGTTTTCATTTATATTTCACAAGAGTTTGAGCTACGTACTTGCAGAGGCAGTTTCCATTTTTAGGTTCAATGGTTCTGTGGTAATACAGCTTTTTTGAAATTTGTAGCTGCACCTTTTTCTGGTGTATCAGGTAGTTTGATAAAAAAACAAGGATTTGCTATATCCCTAACTTTCAAATTCCGTTTTGTGCCTTAAATTTGTGATATTTATGCCTATCTTCATTACACGTAAATGAGTTTCCTTTTAAACAACAGGTGCATAGTGGACTTGAGATAGAAGAGTTGTATTTTTTGCAGTTTTAAAAGGTGGAATCTTCGTATTCTTTAAAACAAATTTCACACAAGGTGCTATAATTTAACTTACTACTTCTGTGTTTTGTATGTAGCTAAAATTATTAAAGGTTTGAGATATAAACTGTATTTACAACACTGAATCACAAAATAGTTGTGTTACACATATTCAGACTAGCAGTTGTATTTGTCCAAAGTTCTTAGAGTACTTTTTTATAAACTCCACTTGCTTTTTGATTCATGAGGAACATCATGGCATTTTTCAGAAGTATATCTCAGTTAGCAAGCAGAATAGTGTGATTAAATATAACTAACTAAGATTCTGTGCCTTTTTTACTGTCAAGGCAGCTCACTGAAGACCATAGCTATCAATTAATTGAAAATGCATTGGATACTTTAAGGGTGTGATTTTGAAATCCTTGGTCAGATGAGTGTATCCCACAGATACTATTCCTGCAATAAAAGGAATACTTGCACTATAATACTGTATTATATTTTTTTTCATTGTGTCCTAAGGATATTATACGTCCATCAAGGAGCTATTTTTATAGCCTTTTGTACATGTGACATGAAAAAAATACAGCACTGTTTGCTAAAATTGTGAGTTGCACTTTCATAGAGCAACAGTGTACAAGGTAATGATACAATTTAAAAACTGATTTACAGCTACAATATAGTCATGATAAATGAGTACAAATAAAGCTAAAAATTACTTACAGTATCACATTCAGCGTTTCATAGACCAGAGAGATTGCCATGTAGATTATTTGACATGGCATGTACTTTAAAAAAAAGTAAACAACATGTATCTTTTCTCACTCTTCTTTTTTGACTGAAACCTTTTGCTGAAGCCTCCATGTATACCTTTTCATAGAATCACTAAGATTGGAAAAGACCTGCAAGATCATCAAGTCCGACCTTTGACCAAACACCACCATGTCAACTAGACCACAGCATTAAGTGCAATGTCCAATTGCTTCTTGAATGCTTCCAGGGATGGTGACTCCACCATCTCCCTGGACAGCCAGTCCCAAAGTCTGACCACCCTTTCAGTGAAGAAATTCTTCCCGATGCCCAACCTGAACCTCCCCTGGCGCAGCTTGAGGCCTTTTCCTCTTTTCCAGTTGTTAGTTGCTATATTGTTAAAATATCTTCTGAAAGATAGGGAGAATTGCAAGTCAAATCCTCTTGCTATTGACTTCAGACTTCCTAGGTAGCTTACTTAAATTTCAGTATAACATCATGAAAAGTTTAATTAGCTTGTTAAATAGACATTAAAATTAAGTATGATTTTCATATGGTGCTTTCTTTCCAACTTCTTTTTTACACCTATCTTTTTTTTGTCTTATTCTCTGCAATACTCCTAGTTTTCTAAAGCATTTAAATCCTCCTGCTTATGTAAGATTAGAAATGTATTCAAACATAAGCATCTCTACTGTTTTCATGTAGTCTTTAACAAATTGTTTTCTTACCTGTGCTATACATGTTTTCTGAAATGAATTCATATAGAGCATGACCTTATGAAGCTTTTCTAATGACATTACACAGGAATATGCATTTGGAAGGAGATTCCTATTCATCAGGTGACCTTGCCTACTATTGGTAGTAACAGAAACACACCACCCTTCATATAAAATCCAGCTAAAAGCCGTTGGATTTCTTGAGGTTCTCCCCAGCACTCTCACAGCGTTCCCGTTGTGAAAGGCTCTTTTGAGACAGATTGAGGTGGCTTGTGTCATCACAACTCTGCCTAGAATGTCTGGAAGCCAGATCCTAGCCTCAGGGCAAGGACAGCAGAAAGGAATATGATGCTGAGATATTGCATCTCCTGCATTAGCTGCGAGGGGGTCACTGGGGCCATTGTGAACAGTAGCTGATAGATGTAATTTCTGTCACCACGCAGGGTGTGGGAAGAGAGGAAGCTCAGTATGCTCTCATACCTTTTGCCTAGGAAGCTCAGGAGATCAACTGGGAGGATCTCTGTGATAAAGGGTGTGTTGCAGAAAGGGCTTTCCTGCTCCACTCAGCTATCTTATTACTATCTATTAGGCTATATATCTTGAGATATACTGGTATGCCAAGGTGGGTGTGCCACACTACTCTCAATCATCTAGTTCAAAATTAACTGCCTTGAATAAATGGTGCAGCATGCTGCTTCTAATTCCCATTGAGCATAACATTTAGCCAGCTTCATGTTAATGAATAGATTGCAATGACTAGTTAATAGGTAGGTGTATGAAGACTTTTTCTGTGACCAGATGGAACCTACCTTTCTTATTCAGATAAAATATTTTAAATCTAGGTCTAGCTACTGCTCTGACTGTGGTACTTGCAGTCTTCACAGTAGCTTACTTCAGTGGATATTTGGATATTTATGTGATTAGTAAATAAACTATAATGAAAACAAGTTACAAACATTATAATAATTTATAATTTAAGGTAGTTGCTACATTAACACTTTTTTGTGAATTCAGTTCTTACTTAATGAAGAACTGAAAAAAAATGAAGGAAAGTTAATACAAATAAGTGTTCTGCACTGAGAAGTAGGGCTTCATAAATCAAAATTTTCATGCAGGCAAACTGGCCGCAGTTCATAAAGGATCGGTTATGTGTTTTTGAACAAAAAGGTTGAAAGCTTTTCTGAAAATTAAAATTTATATCATAACATATATTTTAAAATGTGCTGAGAGATACTGTATTATTTATTACCAGTTTACAATTTAAATTCATGCCAAACATACAGTTTTTATAGATGATTAACTGTAGGCCATTAAAATGTTTCATTCTGTGTTTGTTACAGTGGCTGTTTAAAAAACAAACCCCTCATGTTTCTGCACAGCTCTGTGTTCTCTTGCTCAAGTGAGTTGCAGTATGGTTATTGTCTACAATGCTTTGCAAGGCTGCTAAAGTGGCAGGCTCCTATTTGCAAGGGATAGCTCCTTAAACTTGCTTTCATGATGGCACACCTTCACAGTGGGTTCAGTGAGTAAAACCGTATGCCACTGGTGCCATTCTAGGGGTCCTGAGCGCCTTCAGTAGGACTGAAGGCTTTACAGATGTGCCTGAGTCATCCTTACGACTTCCTCAATGGAGAAGACCTGTCTTGTGAACTCTTAGGTCACAGAACTAAGTCTGGCAAGTGAACTTAAGGCTGTACCAAGACAAACTGTGGAGAACCTGGATGTTGGGTAACTCTAGCCCTCTCATAGGAAGTTGCTGTCAAGTTC